TGTGCTGCTGTGGCTCACAGGAGACTAGGATTTACTGCAGAGGTTCTGGTAATGTCCCCTTCCCCTGTTCCCTACAAGATTCTTGGTATTTTCTTTTCAATGCAGCTTTCTTTTTGCTGGTAGTCTTAGAGTCTTCTGCATTCTCATCATTAGATCTTTCTTTCCTTTCAAAAAAGCTGTCCAGTGATGTTTGTGTTTTACTCCTTTTATCTAGGGTTAGCTGTGGGCTTACAAAACTGACTGAGACAACTGCACAGTGCAGAAAAGAAGCATGGATGGAAGTGGAAATAAAATAATGGACAGACCACATGTAGTCTAAAATAAGTGTTAGATTCTCATTTAAAGCTGCCACCAGATGCAGTGTAACTGTCACTTGCCACTCATTGATGTAGTGTCAATGAGTCTGTAAGCAGTTGATTTCTTATGGTTTCTGTGTGGTCAGACCTCTCTGCTAATGTTAACCTACATTTGCAGCCATTCCCCATGACTAGCATCACCGCCTCAGCTAAACTCAGATCATCATGTATTAGATTTCATAAGGAGTCACAACCTAGATCCCTCCCATGCAGAGTTCACAGTAGGGTTTCCTTTCCTGTGAAAATCTAACACTGTGGCTGATCTGACAGCAGGCTGAGTTTAGGCAGTGATGTGAGTGATGGAGAGCTCATTTGTTTGTGATATGTTTCTCAGGAGGACATGCATGGGGATATGTGAGTAAATACAAATGAAGCCTCTCTTGCTTGCCTGATGCTCATTTCCTCCTGTGCAGCCCAATATCTAACAGGTCATGGACTGTCCTGTCTGTGGCCCAGGGATTAAGGAACCCTTGGCTAGAGTGGGGATAGCTGTCCCTGGCCCTCTTACTGATGGCCACACTCTTGGAAATGACTGACTACAGTCTCCTTTGTCAGGAATGAAGGCATCCTTCATGATCAGTTTCAGCAGTTCCCAGTAACCTGGAGAGTGTTTTAGGAAGAATTAGAAAGTGTGAAGGTCCAGACATGAAGAAATGATGAGCAGATCGCAATACAAATTACAGTAAAACCTTGGATTATAAGTAATTTGTTCTGTGAGGATTCTGCAAGATGAGCAAATTTCTGACATTTTAATTTGATAAACAAGCAATATCTTGTAATACGAGCACTACATGATACTGAACATCACATGATCACAACTAAGCCAGTGGTTCCTCCCTCTTTCTTTGCCTCTTTGTCTTTGCCTCTTTCTGTCTTTCTTTCTCTGTCTCTGTTTCTCTCTCTCTCCTCTCTCTCTCTGGGATTGTGAGTGAGCATCTCCCAATGGCAAGAGGATATGGAGCTCTCATCTGCAGAGGAAGAAGAGAAGAAGGCAAAAGACTCACTCACTTCAAATGAGATTAGGGAGATATGTAAAATGTGGGAAACACCGCAAAATTTTGTAGAAAACCACCACTCCAAAAAGGCTGTAGCAATGCTAGCAATGAATCTGTTTAACAACAATGCAATGTCACATTTCTGCGAAGTCCTCAAAACGAGGTAAAAATAAGTGTCATTGGATAAGTTCCTTGTTAAAGCTGCATGAAAAGAAAAAGATTCTATTGAGTCAATAGATAGCAGGGATTGTATTAGTGATAGTTGATATAATTCTCTGCTAGATAAAATGGCTCTGGCAGCCCCACATCCAAAATGGCTCTTCCTGGCAGATAATAAATCACTCAGGGGAAACAATAACCTAACTTTCCCATCATGAAGCTCTCCCACTTACAGTCCTTCCCACCAAGAAATTCAAACTTGCCAATGGATTTAAACCTCACCTCTGGTGGCAGCCAAACATCTACCACCACTATGTCCTCCCTTTATGCCCCTTGCCTATATAAAACCTCACCTAGCCAGCCCCTGGCCACTGCTCTCACCATTGTTCAAGACAGCCCAGCACCAGGTCCCCTAATAAAGGCCTAGCCTCGGGTGTTAGTGTTTTTGGCCCGTTCTCATCCTTTCAATAGTCACAATTGTCATCCTGGACACTATGTGCTGAAACATCATATTGGTATAGGGGGAAGAGATATAACTCCCAAACCTGCCAGATATCCAAAATGTGAGTTCATGTTCTTTAAAATTGAAGAATGAATTCTAGGAACAATGGAGATTAAGAGTAGGAAAAATTTATTGAGGTAAAGATAGCTTCTGTCTAAAAGAGACAGAAGGTGGACCAGAAAGTGGGTTGGATGCCTGCCCTGCTTCTCAAAGGTGTTTTATGGGACAAAGCTACAAGGTGAGGCAGGTTCAAGGTGGGACAAAATTATAGTCAACTAGTAAGATTACAAGTATAGCCCCTTAGGTAATATTGATCCAATGAGAAATCACAGGGTGGACCTGAGGTGGGACAAAACTATGATCAACCAGTAAGAGTACAAGAAGTATAGTCATTTAGGTAATGTTGATTAAATGGGAATCCAATGGGGAAGCAAGTCATGAAGTGGGTGTATGAGGACTGAACAAGGATTTTCTGTAAGGGATGGGTCAGGGACCTTTCCTAGAAGGGATGGGTTATACCCAGGTGATTGGTACCTATTTAGAACATCAATCACTGCTATTCGTCCCTAGGGGAATTTCATGGGTATAGTAGTTTCTCTCTTTTTATAATGCTGACCAGTGAATGTGCCTCAATTGTTTTTCTATACTGAGGGCCCAGCTTTGTCTAACTGCCTTACAATAATTTTTAACTAACTTAGCTATTTGCAATAATATAATACCTCAAGGCTTTTGCACTGAGCTACATCCCCTCACCCCTGCTTTTAAATTTAAAAAAAAAAAAAGCCTTGAGTTCAATCTCCAGTATGAAAAAAAGAAAAAGAAAAAGAAAAAAAAGCAGAGGCTGGGGTGGGGTTTCCTCACCATTGCTGCCTCTCCTCACATGAACTCCCATAAGGGCCACCACGACTTGATAGCCAGGAAGCAGAAGGGCCTCTGGGTCACTGCCTGTGTGGCATCACTTCCTGTCTTGAATTACTGTTAACTCTTAGAAGCACACTTACTCTGAGTTGTGGGACACTGCTGCCATCAGGTGGTGACATCCACTTAGTGACTTCACCCTTGAAAGGTCCTTTCATTCAACTCCAGCAGCCTGTAACTCTGGAGCTGCCAGGAAACCATGGGGATGTGGGCAGAAGAGAAAGAGGGCTGCTTTATTTTATTCTTGTCAAAAAAGCAAGACTTTAAACTTCATTGATATTTGATGTACCTATTTGATCTGGGTTCCTCACCCCAAATCTGGCCATGTCACATCCTTGTGTCTCCTTCTCAGGGAAGCATGGAAGCCTCATATTGCTAAAGTAGAAATTCAGCAAAGACAAGCCTCTGACCTCCAAAAATCTTCCCAGCCTGAGGTAACTCTCCTCCTGACACCCTCTTCCTTAGAAATTCAACCCATTTCTTTCCCAGTGATAAGAGAGACTGAAGTAAGTGAGTTAGTTAGAGACCCCCACAGTGAGTGAGTGAGTTAGAAACCCCCACAGGGAGTTAATTAAAAACCCCTATGGCTAGTGCCTAAACTTTAAGCTTTTTCCTCCCCAAGTGGATTGTTTAGGGTGATTAATTAACCAGCACCTAGCTTACCTTGTGGTTAAGAACAAAGGACAGGACATATCTTGTCTTGTGGCCAAAGAACAAAGGATGGGACATGTTATCCTGCAACCCTAACCATAAAGATAGAAATTTCCTGCCGGATCCCAAATATTGGATTTTAATCTAACTTGGAGACCCTAGCGAGATATCTCTGCCACCATGGGTCTGCCCCCCACCCAGTCTCCCTGTGCAGGTGGCAGGATGTAGGGGAGGTGCCCCCAAGATGTTCCAGGGCCCCACTCCCAGGTGCTTGTTGGAGGGACATGGAAGGACTGCCAGTTTCAACAAAATTTCGGAGTCCTCAGGAAACCTCCAGTGGGAGGTGTCTTTTGTTGTCTGTTTGCGGTTTCGTTTGGTTTTTGGGAGAAGGACTACCCTGATGAGGGCCCTTCTGGACTGTCCCAAGTAAAGATTGGGACATCGACTGGGGAAGTCACTGGGGTGATCAAGACTGGAGATGAGAGGTCAGCACGTGACCCTCAAAGGCCAGCAGTGGTGATCACAGACAGCCCAGTGGTGGCTGAAGGTTTGTCTCATGTCTGGTTGTGTTTTGTGTCCACGTCATCTGAGACCCAAATTCTTTTCAATGCTTGGTGAGAGGAAATTAGGAAAAAATGAGATAGAGTTAATTAAGAGACTTGGTTTTGGTCAAAAGAATTCTCCCTTTTGTTTAAGTGTTTGGTGCCTCCTCCATGTCTAACTTCTTCTCATTGCAAGACCTATTCCTGCTGTAGATTTTGTGTCCTAGAAAAGGATGAACTTCTAATTCATCTCTTCCATCATTTGCCTGTTTTCCCTCTTGGAACAAAGCCCCCCTTCATTTCATGCCATGAAGATTTTGTGAAAGGACCGCTCCTAACCCTTCCCATTAGTTTTCTTGTTAACTCTGGGCTGCAGTTAGGCTGGGCCCTCGAATCTTACAGATTTCAGCCACTCACTCCTGACTTTGACCTTCATCTGATTTCTGCCTTCCCTAGGTCTCCCAGTGAGAAACTTCCCTCCTTAGGGGAACTCTGTCTTCTAGCCCTCTTAGGGCCATTAAGAGATAAGGCTTTTGGGGAATTCTTTTGTTTTGAGGAGTGGCGTTATCACCATCACCAAGGTGGCCTGGAAAAAAATCAGTGTCCAGGCCCTCTACCTGCTCTGTTTCTTCCTGCTCCACTCCCCAGCTTGCCCAGGTGCCTCATTTACAAAGGAGAGTTGACTGCAGCCCTTGCCACTTATAAGGGAGGTCTTTTCCTCCTGTGTCAGTCCTGTCTCTGGGGCAGTCGGTGCTGCTGGCAACCCCTTGAAAGCCCTCTTCTGGGCCATTCTTGGGCTTTCCTTGGCCCTTTATGATGCCTTTTTGGTCTATAGGTTGGCTTTTCAGACATCCAGAACACAAAACAGACTCACCTGCCATCTCACTGCTCCTTGGACCAGGACTTCTTTTCAATTCAAGATTTTTTGTGATCCTTTTCTTGGCTGCCTGTCTGACTGTGTTTTTATCTTTCACTATGGGAGCTTCCCAGGTCAAATCCCAGACTTCCCTTGGATGCATGTTGCCTCACTTTTCTGAAGGTTTTTCTGGCCAATATGATGTGGCTATAAAGAAGCCAACTACACACTCTATGTGAGGTAGAGTGGCCCTCCTTTAACATAGGTTGGCCAGATACACGTATTTTGATCCTCAGGTGGTCTGCAGACTATGGGACATAGTGACCAGAAAACCAGGCCACCTTGATCAGTACCCTTACATTGACTCATGGTTGTCACTAACCCTTCACCCTCCACCTTGGCTTCAAGCCTGGGCCATGAATTGGCTTGCATCACGGGTCCTAGTTACTCACTCTGCTCCTGCAGTGCCTGGGACTCGATGACCACCATCAGATGATGGAAATGATGACTTGCCTCCCCCATATAACCCCCCTAGAGCTGTGGCCTCCCCTGAGGTCTCTTCCTCAGGACCCTCAGCTCTCCCAGGAGGTCTCGTCACCCCCTAGTTCTTGTCTGAGGTCTCAGGATCAGGCTGTTCAGGAAAGCTCCATGGTTCCAGAAGAAAAATCTGCTACCATCCTGCCCTTGAGGCAGGTGCCTCCCTGTGGAAACTCTGATCATCCTTTTCTAGTATATGTTCCCTTCTTTTCCTTTGATTTGTACAACTGAAAATACCAAAATCCTCCTTCTTCTGAGAAACCTCAGGCATTTTTGGAGCTCATGGACTCTGTCCTCCAGACCCTCCAACCTACTTGGGATGACTGTCAGCAATTACTGACAACAGTATTTACTGGGGAAGAAAGGGAATGAATCAGGGCAGCCACCTGGAAGTCTCTGGTCCCAGCTGGGGAATTGGAGGACACCCACCAGGCAAGAATTAATCAGACTTTTCCTTCCACTCAACCAAATGGAGGGCAAATATGGAGGAAGGAAGGGAAGCCTTGAAAAAATACCACCAGACTCTAATGGATGGGCTCCCAGCAGCAGCTCAGAAACCTAATAATTTGTCTAAAACCACCAAGGTAATTCAGGGGTCAAATGAGGCTCCAGGGGCATTCCTTGAGCGACTCCTAGAGGCTTTTCAGGTGTATACTCCTTCGATCCATTGTCCTCTGAAAATAACCGGGCAGTAAATTTAAATTTGTCAGACATTCCACTCCTGATATTAGGAAAAAGTTACAGAAGTTAAGTGGGTTTGCAGGAATGAACACTTCCCAGTTGCTGGAAGTAGCCCAAAAAGTTTATGATAATAGGGACTCAAAAAAACAAAAATAAGCCGAGCTAGTGTCCAGGAGACAGGCTGAAATCTCATCTAAAAGACAGGCAAGGGGGCGGGGATTTAGCTCAGTGGTTCTGGTGCCTGCCTCATAAGCGCAAGGTCACAAGTTCGATCCCCAGTAACCCCCCAAAATACGACAGGCCAGGATTTTAGCAGCAGTCATAAGGGGTCAACCAATGGGGTGTGCCAATCAGAAAGAAGGGACAGAAAAGAGACAGCCCTGATTAAAAAGAGGTCAGTGTGTTAGGTCCAAACAGTTTGGACATTGGAAAAATAAGTATCAATGGGAAGAGAAGAAAAGAAGAGGGTACTAAATCTCCCTGCTGGGGGAGAGGGGGAAGACTGATGGGGATGGGGCTCCTTTGCCCTTGGCACCCCTCCCCCCTGGGAGCCCATGGTCACTTCAACAGTAGGGGACTGCTCAATTTGGTTCCTAGTAGACACAGGAGCTGAAATTTCTGTTCTAAGAGATTCACAGGGGCCTCTCTCATGTCAGACTCACTATCCAAGGGGCCACCAGGAAAAATAGAAAATATCCAATGACTGCTGAAAGAATTGTGGACTTGGGACATAAAGGGTTACACATTTCTTCCTGGTAGTTCCCAAGTGCCCCTTCCCTTTGCTAAGACATGATCTGCTCCAGAAGTTAAGGGCTACAATTTCCTTCACCCCAGCTGGACCACAATTGACCCTAGCCTCTAACCCAAAGTTGGTATTGACCACTGCCTTGGTTGAAGAGTATTTGATGTTTCCTGACACAGAGGAGGTACCCTCTCCTAGTTCTCTTTTGTAGCAGCTGCAATCTAAATATACAGGTGTCTGGGCTAAAACCAACCCTCCTGGACCAGTGGCTTATCGCCCCCCAGCAGTGATAACTCTTCTGGGAACAGAATGGGGCAATCAGAGTGGGGCAATACCCCATGAGCCAAAAGGTCAGACTCAGAATTGCTGCTCACGTGCGAAGACTCTTGGAAGCAGATATATTGACATCCTGCAGGTCCCCATGGAACACTCTTGTCTTACCATCCAGAAACCTGGGACCCAGGATTACTGGCCGGTACAGGATTTGAGAGAGGTAAATAAGCAGGTAAAGACTATCCATCCTATGGTGCCAAATCTTTATACTCTGTTGAGCCTGTTGCCTCCAGACCACCAAGTCTACACTGTATCAGACCTGAAGGATGCTTTCTTCTGCATCCTACTGGGCACTGTGAGGCAGCCAATCTTTGCCTTTAAGTGGACAGATCCCCTGACAGGGGAGACAGCCCAATTCACATGGACACATCTACCACAGGGCTTCAAAAACTCTCCCACTCTTTTTGCGGAGACACACCAATGAGACTTGACCAACTTCCAAGCAGACCATCCTGGGTTGTCGGTTCTTCAATATGTTGATGATTTGCTTCTTGCAGCTAAGATCCCCCACCCCCCAGGACTGCATGACTGGGACAGGAGACCTGCTTGGGACCCTACAACAATTGGGGTACCTAGTTTCAGCAAAAAAGGCCCAGTTATGCCAGAAGAAAGTGGCCTATCTAGGCTATAAATTGCCCCAAGGTAAGCACAGCCTCTCCTTGGCCTGGAAACAAGCCATCTTGCAGATA